CACTGTATTCTTTTCAATGGTTCAATGCAATGATGTAAATATCCAAGATTTAGAAGGACCAAATGTAAAACTATAAGAATCAATATTAATATTAATATTAATCTGAATATTGAGCGACACACTCCAATCAATGTCTTCTACAGCTACGCCTTGATTTATAGTAATTTCGTTTCATAATTGTTGTGCGTATTCATATACAAAACAAAAAGAATGTATTAAAACTCCAAAAACCATTGACTTGTGTTTGTGTGATTTAGTTTTTTTTTTTTTTTTAACAATGGACAATAAACTTGTCTATTACTTTGCCATAAGTACCAACAAAATATATTTAAATATATATATTACATTTTTTGGTAACACTTTACAATAAGGTTCATTAGTTAATGTATTAACTAACATGAACTAACCATGAGCAATACATTTGTTACAATATTAATTAATCTTTGTTAATGTTAGTTAATGAAAATACAGCTGTTCATTGTTTGTTCATGTTAGTTCACAGTGCATTAACTAATGTTAACAAACACAACCTTTGATTAAATAATGTATTAGTAAATGTTGAAATTAATATTAACTATGATTATTAAATGTTTTAGAAGTATTGTTCATTCTTAGTTCATGTTAACTAAGGTAGTTAACTAATGTTAACTAATGAACCTTATTGTAAAGAGTTACCAAATTTTTGAAAAAGTTGCGATTCAAAAGAAGTGATTGTTTATAGGAAAAGTAGCGATTCTTTTTACAGAAAGTATTAATAAAAGTATCGATTCATTTTGGAAAAAGTGGTGATTCATTTTAAGGAAAGTAGCGATTCACATTTGAAAAAGCAGCGATTCACTTTTGAAAAAGTAGCGATTCACATTTGAAAAAGTAGCAATTCATTTTAAGGAAAGTAGCGATTCACATTTGAAAAAGCAGCGATTCACATTTGAAAAAGTAGCGATTCACATTTGAAAAAGTAGCGATTCATTTTAAGGAAAGTAGCGATTCACATTTGAAAAAGTAGCGATTCACATTTGAAAAAGCAGCGATTCACTTTTGAAAAAGTAGCGATTCATTTTAAGGAAAGTAGCAATTCACATTTGAAAAAGTAGCTATAATTATTTTGGCAAAAGTAGCGATTCATTTTGGGAAAGGTAGTAATACTTTTTTGAAAAAGTACTGATTCATTTTGAGGAAAGTAGCAATTGATTTTAAGGAAAGTAGTGATTCTTTATAGGAAAAGTATAGATTTATTTTGGAAAAAGTAGCGATTCATAAGGAAAGTAGAGATTCACATTTGAAAGAGTGAAGTGGTCGTTTAACCACATTAGTTCATGACGTCACACACGTGGTGGCGTAGTAACTTATTTTAATGAAACTGTTTGAGATCGAATTAATGCTAGATGTTTTTATATAAATTACAGACAATGGCATCTGAGGAATTTTTCTCAGTTATTTCGCTTTATTTCCAGATTCAATCATAGGCCTACTAGCGCTCGTTCGCACATGCACAGTCTTCAAAAACAGTGCTTTAAATCTCTTGACAAACTCAAAGACGTAAATGACATATCATGTATGTATTCTAAATAAAAGACACAGGTTGTAATGAATGTCATCATGCTTATTTGGCTCACGATAAGGATTTATTGAGTCCACGTCATGCAATCTAGAAACTCTGCTTCTAACCACAGCTCGAGAGCTGTCGTTCCAACCAAGTTTGCGATGCTGTTTGCGAATGTTCGTTAGAACGATGGTTTCGGGAAACACAGACTCGTTGAACTGCTGATAACGACGGAACTTGCGACCATAGTTGGCTAACGATGCTTTCGGGAAACACGCCCCAGATCAACGTGTGATCGTCAACGAGTGGATCTCTGAGCTGCTGTGAGTGAGTGGAGGCGGGGCTCAGTTTGTATATTCGTAGAACCATGCTCTCCATGAGCAAAACAGGTTAATACTTTTGCCCAAAGCATTGTGTTATATTATTTTATTATAGCTTTGTTGTAGGTTTTTTTTTTTTGGTGGTTTTCCTAAGTAGTATTTTGTAAGTTTATCATGCACAAAGTGTCAATAAATACTCTTTTCTCTATAAATGCATATATTTTCTTTTATTGGGGGGAGAGGACGTGTAGTGTCTGAGCTAGGGGCACTAAACTGTCCTGCACCTGTCCTAATCAAACACACCTAAATAATGCAGTCAAGTTGTTTTAGGATTACTTCAAAATGACATCCAGGTGTGTTTGATCACAATTGAAACTCACTGACTTGGGTCTCTCTGTTTATGCTATATATACATAGTGAGATAATACAAAATAATAAAGATATTTCAGTTTGAAGTGTTTGTTGTCTTGCAACAATCATGTTGAAACAACATCCATCATTTTAAAAATAATAAAATTAACTTATGTCATTCTCTCTGATTTTATGTCAAAGAAAATATCAGCAAATACGTGAAATGTAATTTACTGTGAATTCCTAAAAAACTAAAGTGTTTGTTTTAACATTTATATTTAATTTATTATAATTATATGTTGACTATAAAAAACGGGTATAAATACATTATACACTAAAAAAAGATAAGCGTTTTGGAGTGTGGATGCTTATTGTTTAAAGAAATGTAAATGTGTGATTGATTTGAGGATCAAAATAAACTTTATTAAAGAAATATTTGTACACCGTGAAGGCAATGCTTCCCAGAAAACAAAGTTTAACAGATCTTGAGAAGTATGTGTGCTTAATGAAGCATGACTGGTGGCTGAGAAGTATTTGATTTTTGGTGCAGACATACTTTGCACATGGGAAACCCCAGACAGCAACATAGTGTGAGCCCAGATCCGGCCCACATCTGGTACACATAGATTCCACACGCGGCCCAGATGTGGGTCGGATCTCGGCCGACACTATGTTGCTGTCAGGGAGGTGGTTTTGGAACAGATCACATGTGATCACATGTGGAAAATATGGGAAGTTCATGTGGTTTATCTGTAAGGGCATTATTCTGTTGAAAGGGGCCACTGCCATCAGGGAACACCATTGCCATGAAAGGGTGTACGTGTTAAGTGTCAAAGTAACATCCACATGAATGCCCGGTCCCAACAGAACATTGCCCAAAGCATTACACTCCACCTGCCTTCTACCCACAATGCATCCTGCTGCCATCCCTTCCCCAGGTAAACGGCACATTGACCAGACCTACCAACTTTCTTCCATTGCTGGATTGGCCAGTTCAGAGGCTCGCATGCCCATTGAAGGCACTTTCGGCGATAGACAGGGGTCATCATGGGCAAACGCAGCAGACTGTAATGTACTGACACCATTCATGGGCAGCATTCAGTATCTCTTCTGTGTGATCGGACCAGATGGGCTAGCCTTCGCTCCCCACATGCATCAAAAAGCTTTGGGTGCTCATGACCCTGATGCTGGTTCACCTGTTGTCCTTTCTTGCACCACTTTTGCTGGGTACTAATACCGGGAACACCCCACAAGACTTGCCATTTTGGAGATGCTCTGACCCAGTCGTCTTGCCATCACTCTTTGGCTCTTGTCAAAGTGACTCGGATCTTTTTGCTTGACCATTTTTCCTGCTTCAAACGCATGAAATTTAAAGGTGCAGTCTGTAAGAATGACAGCTAGTGGTCAAAATAGGTACTGCAGACCAAATTCAAAATATTGGAGATCGTCGTTTCCCCCGCCTCCTCAGACTCGATGCTCACGCGGGTTGCCAGTTTGAGGACACGCAACAAGAGCGAGCGCAATTGACAATGAACGCCGAGGAGACTTACACACTGTAAGTTGGATGAGGTGATTTATCTGCATTTTAATATGCTCTCGTTCATAGAGATTTTTAGATGGATACCGAGGGTTTTTAGGTTGGGTAAAATCTGCAGTCTCTGACCCAGTTTGTTTGCTGGCTACAATATGCTGTGTTTCCTGCAAACTGGCATCCCAAGGTGTCGAAATACTATTGGGTGAACAGGCAGTGGGCGGAGTTACACAGACCAAACCAAAAACAGACATTCCAACACCGAACTCAGATTTCAAAGTTAAATAACTGGCTGTAGAAGTGTTTTTTAGAGAAACGAGTTTATGAACTCAGCATGTTTCCTAAATATCTTCAAACATATTATGGTATTTTTATGCTTTATTACAGTGACAAATGTACATACAGCACCTTTAAGAACTGACAAACTGATGGACAAATGCCATTTTACCGATATAATCAATGTTATTCACATCCCCTGTCAGTGGTTTTAATATGTATATACGGTCTATACAGTATATATATACACACACACACACACACGTCATTTCATGACAAAAAAAATATTTAGTAACAATTTATTATGTTACACATTTCAGTTAATAGGAATCTGACTACTTTTGAACTAACATGTTTATCACATTGATTTGGACAATTTTATATTGATATAAAATACAAAGAAAGAAAACGTATTCCATTCTCTATGTTACGTCAAAGAGGTTAGGCTGACAAAAACACCCTTTGTCTTGACAGACAGGAACGACAACGTTTATAAAGGATACAACCTCGCGAGTGTTGTCAATCTGGTTCAGTTGGTTTTCCAGCTATATATTGAGCTTTTCATTCTCCTCATCTGCTAAAGACACCAGCACGCAAGACATTTCTGCAATAAGAGTACATCAATTTTCAAAAATAAAGGTACGTGTTAGTTTCTACTAAATCGATTGCTTTACTTTACATTACACACATTCAGTTGGTTTCTGTTGTTTATGAATGTATTGTTTTTGCCAACCAAAGCATATTTGTGTATATGCGTTTTTCATAAAGAAATACCAATTGTAAACACCCATGATGTTTAAAACAGCTGTATTTCCCTTCCACATGCTTTTCAGGTACGTTCTCTTAGAAGAAGAAACTCTCAAACTCTGACTAAAGCTTGAAGCATCAGTCATATATACAAGGTATATTTTGGGATTTTCAACTTTATGCTTTAACGCTATATTTGAGGGCTGATTGATTTGCCTCATTAAATGTTTTAAAAAATTATTTTTAATTGTGTTTATTCCTTTTTATTTATCTCGCACACAGTCCTCCATCATGGTGAAAGATACACTGAATAAACTGTCCCAGCTGAAACAATCAGGCTTCGGTCAGCCGTGCCCACCGAGACATGGCCTGAATCTGTTGTACTGGTTTGCTCATGACTACATAGACTTCAGCTATGGCATTATTGTCTCCAAATATAGACCTCAAAATGGAGACTTTGGCTTCCACAAGTTTGAAAACAGAATTGAAGATGAGGAGGATGATCCTCTCTTCCCCAGGCAGAATCTCCCATACTATGAAGTGGGCAACCTGAATTATTCAGGAGCAGACAAGCTCCCAGATTATATCAGTGCAAATTACAGGCACAATATTCCTGACAGTAACAAGGATCGGGTTATTGTGCGTCTGGACGCCAATGGCAGCTTCAACAGGGTGTATGTGACTCAACACAGCGACCTGAAACGATTCGACAACAGAAAAACCTTCCGTGTGAGTCTGGGCCTCCTCCAGAACATCAAGAACAAGAGTCGAGATCAGTATCTCTCCCAGCTCTCCCGCACTCCTGATGAACAGGGCGGATTTAGGCATACACCTGGAGAACAGGGCGGATTTAGGACTACACCACAGAGGCATAACACGCCGGCTAAGAATGACTCCTGGTGTACCATTCTTTAAATATGCTATAAAGAGTCATTAAACTACTCTTATTTTATTTGTGATTATTACATACAACAACACTGGAGAGAATGTATTTTTTGCAGAGCAGTGCAAAAAAGAAATATCTGCTTACCAATCACCTGCTGTCATTTTATCCATGATAAATATGAGTAGGCTTACTAGGCTATAAACATTATAATAATTTATATAGAACTGATTCAAGTGTCAATTACTGTTAAACGATTTTGAAAATTTATGCTTCACGAATATTCGAAACCAAACCAGTGTGAAACTTGTTTAGCCTACTATAGAGACGCAGCGCGAGCGTCAACAACACTGTATCAAACTGACAAATTCACGAGATTTCCGCGAACGAGGCTGATGTTTTGAAAGGTCAGCAGTTTTACGACGGGCTAACAACTAATATCAGATCATTTTTATGATACATTAAAGTTAAAGTTGATTCGATGTTGATTATAATGCGTTACATGACTTTAACCAGCAGATGTCCTCGAGTTTCGAGCGATTGTTTTTAAAGATTTTTTTAAGCCTCACTTCTCCCGCCACTATTATTCAAGTTCTCTCTCTTGTTATAATCATATACATGTAGTTTCTCTGGCTTGGTCTTAAATAAAGTTGCTTTGGAAACTCACGCTTTGAACTGTTGTTTCTTATTGTTTGTGTAAATGAACCTCTTTTTCAGTATGCATTATCAGAAAACAGGTGCAGAGAATGTGAGGGAGACTGGGCCTGTTTGGCACGTTTCATGCTTAGTTATCTCTAGCAGAAAAAAAACAAAGTTGCCCAACCATGTGCAAGTGAATGTTTCAGTGTCATAAAATACTTTTTCCTGAAGTTTGTTCATTCATAAATACACTTATACTGTGCATGTGTCAACTGACCCCACTTTAAAAAGTCACGTTTTTTAATGAAAGCAACACAGAAAGGTTATTAATTATTATTATTATGATTCATTTATATGATTGATTTGAGCAAATAACTTTTTTTGATCACTTAAACAGTAGACTGGCACATGACGGGTTAATTTCTGGATAGACCCTGGCATTATATTTGTATGAGTAATTCATCAAATCCTCTATGCATGATTCTTACCCTTCTCTCTATTTGCCAACCAAATATTTCCCAGTGGTGGAGTCACTCCTCCCCTGACACTGACATGAAACAGCATTCGTTTCTGTTAGCAGATCTTTGCACGACTCACACAAAGACGTGTCAGAGTGCCAGCATCACTTCAACAAGGTGAGGTGGACTCATTTTATAAAAAGTTAATATAGCAGATTTTAATTAATTTATTACTTTACTATTAAACCACAATTATTAACATTAGAAGCATTGCAAACCTCATTGCGAACAACATATTTGTTTATGTAATAATTGAACTGCATAACACCATTTTGAAAGTAAACGAGTATTTTAGAGTAAGAACATTGTTTTGCTTTATTACATAGTTAATTTCGGGTTATACATTTGAATCCATTACCAAGAAATATGATTGGGGAAAAAAATTAACAATCTGGACTTGCTTGTTTTTACTTTTAAAAAATCTTACAGAATAGATTAACCCTTCATCTCCCTCAACTCACTGTAAGAGTCTTGGAGGATCCTTCTGAAGTCTTTCTGCTTGTAGTTCAGTGTAAGTGATCAGCAGATATGTTTTGCCAAAACTTTTAATGTTATTTTATCGTCGTCTGGTTTTTACATGTGCAGGTTTTCTGTAATTGTGTATTTCATTTCGAAAAACATCATTACAAACCTTTTCTCTAACTACAAGTGCACAATCATAGGAGTAAAACCGGTTCTATTCTTTACACCATCAGAACAAAACAAAAAAGGTACAAAAGCTGTCACTGGGGCAGTATCCTTTCAAAAGGGTACAATTCAGCATATATGCACCCTTTAGGAGTAAATGAGATATAAAAGTATAGTTTTGAAAGGGTACTGCCCCAGTGATAGCTTCTGTACATTTTTTACTGACAGTGAACATTTTGTTTTCCCAGCAGGATTGCAGGAACACGATGCGGACCCTGAATAACTTGTCTGATCTGAGAGAGTCGAGGTTTGGACAGCCTCCTCCCAGACACGGTCTGAACTTGCTGTGGTGGTTTGCTCATGAATGTGTTCAGATTGACTCTAATCAAAGGATGAATGCATTTTGCAACCCTACAAATGGAGCTTTTGGCTTCCACCGATTCTATAATGCGGATGGACTTCTTCCTTACTCTTATCTCCCGTACTATGAGGTGGGCAACCTGAAAAAGACTGGCTCACTGCCTGGTTATGTCACTGAGAAATACTCAGGATGTTCAGATGCAAGCAACACTGATCGCATCATTGTTTCCTTTGGCTCAGGGTGGAACAGGTTTCACAGCGTGTATGTGACACGACACTCAGGTGTGCTGAACTTTGACCAGAATCACACTTACTGCATTAGCATTGATCTTCTGATGAAAATTAAAAGTTTGAACCGTGCAGAATTCCTCAGACAAACTATGAATGATCAAAATCCTTATCAGATGAATTTCCATCAACAATCAAACATGCACTCGCAGTTTACACATATGTCACTGCAGGGTCAAACGTCACACCAAACTACTTGGGATGACTGTACATCATGCTGCGCTTTGCTTTTTGTATTTTTGTTGGTCATTTTTGCCTGTCTGTTTTTTTTTATGGGGAAAAAAATGGTTTGATTTACAGCTTTGTTTGTCTAGCAAATTTCTAAAGCATTATACGTTGAAAGCTCACAAATGCTTGTTTTTACATACAATATGATGGTTGCAATGATGAAAACAAATAGTCAAAAGGGAGAAAATGTAAATCTTTAAGATTTTATATTAATCTGAATAGTCACTGTAATTTTGCATCCTCGCACTGTCTTACTAGTTATTGTGATTACGCTTCTCTATTCTGTGTTCATATTTGTTGTGTTGGTTATTATTTGACATATTTCATATATCCTGTGTAGTAACAAATCTCCCAAAACCCCTATGATTGCAAGTGTTTGTGTGATGAAATATAAATCCTAACTCTGTTGATCATTTTAATATGAATAATATGTAATATGAAATCTGAAGTGTTTGATATTAGATAGTTTAACCGTAGATTTAATGTAAATCCCCTCATGAACGTCCAACCTACATCAGTGTCTTTTTCACACTGGTGAGCTTCTGTTCATCACTATAGCAACAGACACACACATGTACAACCTGTAGGACAACAGGTGTGTGTTAATATAGAGTTCTTTCATTAGTTCAGTGACATCAGCAAATATGCAGTGTTATTAATGATGCATTCAGGGCCAACGATCTAGTTTTGCTATAATTAAAATGTGTTAATTAAAGATCTAATTCAATTCAATGCAACTGATTGGATATCAATTCAATAGATTGTCAAAATGACGATATTATTGTATGTTTTTAATTGTTAGATACATTTGTAAAGATCAAGACTTTTTTTTTTTTACATGAATGCCCAAAAAGACTGGACTTAAAAAATGACTGCAATGGCAAAGTAAAGAGTAATGAAATCTAATATGATTCAAACTATGTCCCGTGTGTGTGTGTGTGTGTGTGTGTGTGCGTGTGTGTGTGTCTGGTGGAGTGTGTGTTATTGATCATGTGATCTTCTTAGACACGCCCACTGCTGTCTCTCTGCTTCAGTTTCGGTTTCCTACATAGTCAGCTGACCTCTCTCTCCCTCCCTGGAAGAACTATGTGTTTATTATTTATTCACCTCAGACTCACGTTTGCACAAATGTACAAATACATGCCACTTTTATTCTTCTGTTCTTTTAGAAAGTAAACACTCCTTCAATAACAAACAACAAATACGATATTTTACTTTCAAAACTGTAAGAAACGAAGAAAAAAAAGTAGGCTACTAAAAAAATGAATAAAAAAACAGGAACCTTTTTAATTTCGGTAACAATTACTTATTAAAAGACTGTCCTATTATTTGTTTTTCAACTTAAGGTTAACTATATAAGTCTAGGCTATATAGTTTAGTTGCACAGAAATGTTTCTTGATAATAATGCATTACGGTCCAAGTTTGTGTGTTTTTCACCGCCCACTAACACACACGAATAATAAAGTGAGCGCGTGCGCTGCACAGACGCAGATCTCCTCACAGCGCGTGAATAAGGTACAGTATTCCGTGTTCTGTTTGTCTGATTTGTATTGCTTTTTCTTAATAACACCAATTTTAATTGCATTAGAGATATTATAATTTTAAACGTAACGCCGGATGTTTTTATCTTTATTTGTATATGTCCCCGGAGGGCAATTGGTTTTACAGCAAGACAGCATACAAAAAGACAATTTAGCCTACAATACATTAATTAAAAATGTCCATAAAAGCTAAAAGTTAGCCTACATAAAAAAAATCACACACGAAGTAGGCTACACACACGAAACCCAACAACTAGGCTACTTCCTTCCACCTAGTCCCCCAATACCCGCATTTAACAGAGAAATGGAGGAATAGGCTAAATGAATGTTTATAGGCTGTTACTTCTAACAGAGGGAAATCTCAGTCGAGATCCTGAGGGTAAAAACTGAAACTCAGGATAAAGAGGATGTGAAGTAGTCTAACCATTAAAATGGATCGGGCTTTCCTAACTACCTGCCGGTTGTAGCTACAGGTCGGTATAACTCCTGCTAAACTCCTAAAATCTATGCTAGTATTTACTATTTTCACCAAAGCAGTCTTTGCCTTCACACCAAGACTTCCATAACATAGCCTAAATGTTAGAACCGACTCAATATAAGATTTGTAAAACAAAGTCATCAAGGACCCTCTCAACTTTACATCTCAGTAGACAGTAGCCTAGACTACAGACGTTGCTGGCCCCTTTTACAAATCGTCTCCATGTTGACATTATGTTACCTTTTAATTACTTTAGTAAACAACCGCAAACAGATGTGGCGTCGAAACATGTTTTGCATCGATATCTCCGACGTGCAAGTCTGTAATCCAGATGGGCTGTACTGTGGGTGTG